TATTTATGCCATTTTGTATTGTATCTATGTATGTATGAAGTAGCATTCTCAGAATTGATAATAAAATAAAATGTCAATCAATTCTGAAAAACGTTTAAGACAGTCTATAGCCTGTATCAAATATTAAGTCAAGATTTAATTATTTATGTAAAATGAATAATCATATCCATCTCATTAGTATATAATTTTTCTTTTGTCTGTAATAAATGGTAAATTTCTATGTGTAACAAATAATTTAAAAAATCAGTTTATTTATGATTTATTATAAGTAAATGTTTGATTTGTATATATTTTTTCTTTTCTTCTTTCTCTCTTTCTTTCTTTTTTTGAGACAGGGTCTCACTATGTAGCCCTGGCTAGCCTGGAGCTCCTTATGTAGACCAGGCTGGCCTTGAACTCACAGAGATCTACCTGCCTCTGCCTCCTGAGTACTGGGATTAAAGACGTGAGCCACCACACCCGACTTATATAATTATTTTATATATCTAATATACCTAAGGTCATGTATAAACTTCTTAGCAGAAGAGAGATCAAAGTGGAAAAGTTTAAGAATTCCTGCTCTAAAAGAGCCACCCGAACAAGAGTGTAGGGATAGAAGCTGCAATGTTTTTGGACCTAGGTGTGGAAGATACTGTCATTTCTGCAATATCTTTGGGACAGTCTTACTCTTTGTGGAAGGACACTACACAAGAACATTAATTCCAGATATCAGGGCGCACTGGGTACCATTTTGGAGGCTAACTTGTCACAGTGTAGCTCCTGGTTCCTGATGACCTGTGTTTTTCCTAGTTGCAAAGTATATTTGCACTCCTCCTAAGGTCCCTCTCCCCCATCTCATCCTGTTACCCCTATTATACAGCTCAGACTCAGCTTTCAGGTATAGCTTCTCAGGTATAGCTCCTTAGAATGGTTGCTCTTAGTCCGTACACTTACCAAGTTCAAGAGAGAGGTCATCTTTCTCCAACTCACAGCAGACAATAGGGGGGATAAGTATAGAAAATGGCCATAGACGTTGCTTTTTTAAAAAGTAGGAAAGAAGGAGTTGAAGAGATGGCTTAGTGAACAGAGCACCTTGCTGCACAAACACAAGGACCTGAGTTTGGATTTTCAGAACCCAACTACATGCCTGGTGGGTATGGCAACCCACCTGTAATTCTAGGATTCAGAAGGCAGAGATAAGGGACCTTTGAAGCAAGATGGCTAACTTAGACTAGCCATATCTGTGACTCCTGGGTTTGATGAGAGAACCTAACTCAATGAGTAGGGTGCAAAGCAATATGGGAGGACTACTATCCACTTGGGGCCTTCACATGTGTGCATACACATGCATACACACCAGTGTGTATACAAGAAAGCCCATGCATATGCACACATGCATACAGACTTGCACACTGTACACATAACCATATGCAAAAATCAAATCAAATCAAATCAAAACAATGTGGGAAACAGGAGGCCCATAAGAATCAGTGGTCTGGAGTGTAACTGGTCTATTTGGGGAGTTTCTTGATTACAATTCAGTTTTGTTCCTTCCTCATGGTTTTTGGATCTATCCTCTGGCTCTGGGTACATTGCTCTGAGTACCTCATCTGTATTCAAAGGATTTTCAGCTGTGTTTACAGCTGTGTGGTTTTCACTGCTCACTTCCTGCTAGAAGAATTTTGGAGATCCAATTTGCTTTTAAATACTTTTGTACTGTTTGTATCCTTTCCAGTCCAAGCTTCTGCCAATATAGCTGTCTTAAAAGGTGCCATGCGGGGTGGGGACTGGATTGATGGCTCAGCGGTTAAGAACACTGGCTGTTCTTGCAGAAGACCCAGGCTTGGATCGCAGCACCCACATGACAGCTAATAACTGTCCATAACCCCTGTCCCAGGGGATCCAACAGCCTTTTCTGACCTCCGCGGGCATTGCACGACATGGGTACACTTACCTACATGCAGACAATACACATAAAATAAAAATTATAAACAAGATATGTTTAAAAAGGTGTTATGGTTCCTGACTAGCCAAAGGCATGTATGCAAATCTCTCTGTGATAAGTATTCTCTCATTTAAACTTGTGCTATAACGGCTGAAGAAATTTTTCTTTAAGCTTTTTAGATAGGCTATTGTTTGACTGCACAGTTCTCTATGACATTATGTTAGGTTTACATTAGATCTAAGCAAAGGATTTTATAGCCTTGCCTTCATCTTCATCACAAGACCATGCTTTCCTTGTAGGGCTATGAGTCCTTGTATAGAAGCTATTTCTTAGTTTTAGACATTTTTGGTCATTTGAACAGGCTGGGAATTCTCAAAAACATAACAGTCATTATACAGGGGCTGGAGAGACAGCTCAGCAGTTAAGAGCACCAGCTGTTTTTGCAGAAGACCCAGGTTCAAATTCCAGCACCCACATGGTGGCTAACAACCATCTGTAACTTCAGTTCCAGGAGATTCAATGCCCTGTTCTGTCGTCTTCTGGCACTGAACGACTTGGGTGCACTTATACACTTGCAGACATAGCATTTATACACATAAAATAATAATTTAAAAAGCCATTTTACAAAGTTTCAGCTAGACAAAGGATGTTCTAGGGTTTTTTTTTTTTTTTTTCATCAAGAGGGTATTTAGTAATAGTGTTTTGTATAATTGAAAATTGCTAAGTGAGATCTTACCTGTAGTTACCATGAAAATTGATAAGGGCATGAGGTGATAGATATGTCAACTACTTTGATTTAGTAATTTCACAATATGTGCATTTATCAAAACATCACATACACTGTAAATATATATGTTTAGGTCCATCAGTTGTATCCTAAAAAAACAGGGGTGGGGTGGGGAAGAAGACAAAAAAGTCTTTAGTTTTCTCTTTATTTCTGTTGTGCTTTAAGCAGTAAGTCACATCCAAATAGCACCCTCCGCATTCTGCTTTAACTCTCCATTGCCACATCATCATACTCATGTGATACGTTTTCTGCTTTCCATGTAACTTCAGGAAGTAGTGATGCTAATTTCCTGATACTAAGTGGCAAGCTCTCCTTCCTCATCTCCCCACATTTCTATTTGCCCCATTCATACTGTCTACACGGCCACTCTGGCTTCTACAAGTCTGCTCACAGATTTTCAGTCTTGCTAATATTCTTCCCCAAACTTTCCATCTTCTACCCACAATCTTTTCCAAAGCCACCTGCATTTTTAGTTATCTGTTACTCCAGGAACCCATTTCCATGTACAAAAGCATCAAAATATATCTTAACACTGAAATAACCGACTCCAAAATTAGTAGTTTAAATTAACAAGCATTTATCTTTGCACCATTGGGACAGCTAGACTGAGTAGTTCTGACTTGAAATCATGCAAGAGGTTCAAACGAAATTTGGGGAAGAAGTCAACTGAATTCCTAACTGGGGCTAGAAGAGAGCCTTCTAGCATGGCTCACTTACAAGGAAGTTGGCAGGAATCCTCAATTTCTCCCTGGCTTTTGGCAGGAGCTCTTGGGCCCTCACCATGTATCTTATCTGCAGGGCTGTTTGAGGTTCATGGCAGCTGACTTTTTACAGAGCAAATGATCCAAGACAGAAGGAGAAAATTGTAGTTGCAATATCTTTTATGACCTAGCCTGAGAAGTCATGTACTGACATTTGCATAGTATTGTGCTTGTTCACAAATCTCCCCCATTCTGAATGAAAGGGGACTGCAGCAGGGAGGTAGCAATCGTAGGTGACTGTCTTGGAGGCTCACTATGGCAGAGCTCACATTCCACATCTATGTCATAGATATTCACTACAAGTGTCTTGCTAGTAGGGCTTTCCAGATTGGCCAGGACCATCAGTGTTGACCTTGATGCCCAGTGCCAAAGCCGAGAATTCCTAATGTTAACATTGCTGTTATCTCTCAGACATATACAGTGTATATAAAAATACTCAGCACACTGCCAGGAGCTGAAAAACCATACTGAAGATATTTCCTGTTATTCTTATTTTATACAAGGCTTTGGATAAATTTCTGACCCCAAAGTAGCAGTAGTATTTTCTGGAACAAATATAGGAAATATAATTTTCCCTCACCATGCCTGTTGATGATATAGTTAAAAATAATCTACACCCTTGGTTGCAATTCTTTGGCTAAATCCCTGGGGGATGGGCACGTGGACTGCAGGAATGATAGTGTTTCTTCTCAGCTAAGTGACTGGCTTCTTATCCTTGCATCAAAATCCTGCCCCTCCCACCTCCTCTTCATTTTCCCTACTGTTATCAGGCTTCCTTTCTGATCTGTGTCTCCTCAAATCTTACTACCCGGAGGCTCTGCTAACTCTAGTCTTGTTGGAACATGACTGAATCATACTTGTGCTAAATCTGAGACCTTTCCTGTTAATCAGTGTTACAAACCAAGTGAGGCCCAAGGTGGATGCTGAAACTAGGATAGAAAACTCTTAGATTTCCGAACAAGCAGTGCAGGTTCTCGACCCAGAAGGTTGGTTAATCCTTTTCTCATCTATAGCTCACCTCTGAAGAACCACAATGAACCCTAAAACACAAATAAGATCACTGTTGAATGCCATCTTTGATCATGTTCTTTGAAGTAAAAGATATTGCCTTGCAAATGTGACATTCAGTTTCTTTTGTTTTCTTCCTTACCTTATGAAAGTTAAATCCGACCTAGGAGATACTTCTGTTTGATATCTGAATGAAAAGTTAGAATGAGAGTCAGAGAAGTGTGGCATTCTTTAGAGCACTTGACGCATGACATTTAAAGGACAGTTGTTCAATGAAGTGAAGCATGTTGTTCCTATGTTACTTATAATGCAGGTCAGGCACATTGTTTTGGAATTGTCTGGATGGATATTTGAGTCCATCCCTGAGCCCCCTGTGATTCTAGATTCTGAGTGTATACAGATTCCCCCATTCAGATACAATAGGATTCCCCAAACTGGAGTCATTCCTCAGAAAACAGACACGATGTGTCTATTTTTAAATAGTATTTTTAAAAAGATTCACTATTATTTTCATTATTTAAAAAATATAGAATGATTCGTGAATTTGCATCTCATCCTCATGCAGGGGCCATGCTAACCTGCTCTGTATTGTTCCAATTTTAGTATATATGCTGGTAAAGTGAGCACAAGAGTTTATCATTTTTATTTATGTGTATGTGTGTGTGCCTGCATGAGTTTATGTGTACCACATGTGTGCAGGGGCCCTCAGAGGCCAGAGAGTGTTTGATCCTGTGGAACTGGGTTATAGGTGGTTTTGAGCTACCTGATATGGGTCTTGGGAATGGAGCCCAGGTTCTCTACAAGAACAGGAAGTGTTCTTAACCGCTCAACCAGCCCCCCAATTGAAGGGTTTTTTTTGTTTGTTTGTTTTGTTTTTTTTTTGTTGTTGTTTTTTCTTTTTTTTTGGTATTTTTGAGATAGGGTCTCCCTTTAGCCCCAGCTGACCTGGAACTCACTGTGTAGACCAGGTTGACCTGGAAATCACAGAGATCCCCTGCCTCTGCCTCCCAAGTGCTGGGATTAAAGGCGTGTGCCACCAAGCCTGGCCCAATTAATATTTATTTTTTTTATTTTTTTATTTTTGTCTTTTTGAGACAGAGTCTCCCTGTAGCCCTAGCTGTCCTGAAACTCATTATGTAGACTAGGCTGGCCTCAAACTCACAAAGATCCACCTGCCTCTGCCTCCCAAGTGCTGGGGTTAAAGGCAAGCACCACCACGTAAATATCATGGCAACACATACACAATAGGTTTCAAACACAAGTGCTGCCATTATTTTTTAATGCTCAAATACTAAATTATATCACAGACACAGCAACATAAAGTTAAGTACTATGAGAACACATAATTGTTAAGAATAAAATTGACACCAATGAGGACTGTGAGTTAAGAATTTACCTCCTTATTTTGGGTTGTCTTTGAAACAGATGAGCCGGGGATTTACCAGCTTTCCATAGTGTTCCTCAGAAGCATCATGTGAGATAGACTAGGGTGGAATCATGAAGAAGTCACAGATTTCTGAGAAGCATGTAAATTATGAACGTGTAGGAGAATTTCAGGAAAGCCAGGGAGGATCTGCAGGCCTGAGAAAGGAGGCCCCTAGAACCAGAGCGAAGGCATGAAGAGATGGGAAAGAAAATATGGAGAGAACCAGTGTATAGGTGAAGCCTGAGACAGGTAGGAATAGTGACAGGTGATTGTTCCATCTAACTTGCTGTCATAGCAGGATACATTCTTCCACACACCTACACAGCTATTCTTAACAAGCATCTTTTTCTAAGACAGCTACTCTGTGCCACAGATTGAACACATTTTGCAGAAGTAAATTCTCTATTTTAACCTTCAGATTTTAGCTCTGCTCTGGCTAGCATCTGTCAAGTTTAGTTCAAGGCATTTCCCATTCACAGAATCAATACCTTAAATATTAAGTACAACACCCTGTGGCAATCACCAAACAGGCAAATGTATATATTTTCAAACAGCAAGCCACCATAGAGAGAGTTTCAGATTCACTTCTTTTAAGTCAGGCCTCAGGTAGTGCAGTGCATTTCATATCTCAAAGGCAAAAGAATGTATAAAGCCTGAAAAAGAGAGGATAGAGGTCCAAGAACATTACCTAGGGGGTTACATTAAACCAGCAGTGGCAGGAGAAGTGATATTGATCTCTGCTCTTGAGAGGTCAGAGCTGATTTTTCAGCCGATGCTTCTGAAATGATTTTCTCTGCTGACATGATTGCAGGTCCTGTTAAAGGCAAGCTATTTCATCTTCTCCCTCCGTGGCCTATGAGCATTAGCAATACTGTAAGTGTGATTCCTTCTCCTGCTTTTCCACCCTGTGGTGTGCTCCAGAACAGCCCATTTGTTTTCCATGGGTTGGTCTTTGCAGCAGACAACTTTATCAGAGATCCCATGAAAAGGCAATAGGGAGGCAGAGCCAACCTCATAATTTTGCATAGCCTTTAGTCTAAAGCAGTCATTAATCCCACTTACTTTCCAAAAGTAAAAGTGACAATTCAAGTCACTCAGGCTTTGTTCTCTAGAGGCTGTGATGCAAACTTCTGGCCTCACACCTCTGTGAGCACAGTCCTTGGAGTCACAGTTGTAACAAAATGACAGCATGAAAATCAACAGAAGGTATTTGAAAATTATTGTAGCCATATTCTTTGGGTTGGTGCTTTACTATTGCTATAATGTTGAAGTGCATGGAAAAAGTTCCCTACCTTGAGTCTTAAGCTTAGTATGAAGCATATTTCCGTTAATTGACACCTCAGTCATCCACAAGCCTTAAAGGGCTGTCTGGGATAGGAAAAGCACAGCTTGTAACTACTCTGCAATTCTGATGATCTAACCACCCACACTGTCTAACTATACTTTCATTTAATCATACTTTGAGTTTTCAGAAAGGTGCTTAATTTGAACTCAACCAGCTGAAACGGTTTCATTATTTTAGACAAAGCTTCCTTTAGTTATTTTTTGTTTCTAATTACCATGTTGAACATTATGTAAGTCAGTGTATCAAAAACAAAACACTAGTCTGTCTTTGTGAAAGAAAAAGTGCTTATCTCTAAACCTGAAAGAATTCAGAAATTGAGGGTCATTGCTGTGCATTTAATTATATTTTATGTTAATGAGTTAAATAAACTGTGAAGGTTTCTATGAAAATTCACATTAATTATTTGCTAAGGTCGTAGTGAGGCTTGACCCATTTGAGGATTCGAGTCAAACATCTGTCCAGAGTGATTATATTAAAAAGGAGAGGAAAAGAAAGAACGTAGCATTTTGTTGTATAAAGCTTGCAGAACTTGGCAGTTACTTCATTTTGCTCTTTTTCTCAGACAGAAACATACCATAGGCAATGACAATTTGTTTTTGATAATTTATCTGCATTGGTTTTTTTATGATTAAGTGTTATTCTCCAGCTATTTCAACTAATTATCATTGTCTCCCCAAAGGCTGATGAAACAAGGAAGCTGAGCAGAATCAGGCTAATTTTACTCCATGGCTTATTAAGCATCCACATGCATGTGTTACTGTGCTAAGTACTGTATCAAGCAAGTTAAACAGCTATTATCGCTGCCTTCCATTTGATCACTCCGGAACATTCACAACTGCTTGTGTGAGCATAGGCGGGGGTAGGTGGGGGGACACATAGACTGTATAGCACACCCTCATGTACTTAGAGAGGAGACCAGAGGGAAAGGTAATTACTTGGTTTGTCAACTCAACCCTGTGTGTGGTGCACTGGACTTTTGGAAGGCTGACCTGGCAACTTGGGCTAGGAGAACTGGCATTTTGTTATTTCCCTTGCAAGGAAGATCATTTGTGCTTTAAACTTGTGGTTTTTGATTCACTTTCTGGGCTTTCATTAAGTTCACATACACTCACCGTTCTTTTTGTACATGCTCTTTTTAAGAAGTGATGAACACGGTGGTTGGAGAACATAACTGACTTTGCTTTCCTCATTGTGCTTTGCAACCTGTTGTTTTATGTGTGGGAAGTAATCTAAAGCACACATACACTTGAGAATATGCAAGACTAGAGTATGGAAGATGAATGGAAGGTGTGGATATGGTGCAGTCACTCAGTCAAGTATCTAAATCAGTAAATTTGATTATCTTCCTAGGCTCTGCCCCCCCAAAAGTAATTCTGGCAGTGAAATTTTCTGAATGGAAAGAGCTCAATAAACACCTAAATAAAAATAGAATGAAAAGGGATTCATTGGTCTGCTACTGGATCAGTGATGTCTTTGGAGGATTCAGATTTCTAAAAAAAATATTTATTTATTTAATTTTATGTATATGAGTGTTTTGCCTGAACACGTGCACATGTTTGTGGTGTGTGTGTGTGTGTGTGTGTGTGTGTGCATGTGTGTGCGTGTGTTGCTCAGGGAGGTCAGATCTCCTGAAACTAGATTTATAGATGGTTGTAACCTGCCATGTGCACATTGGGAACTCACCCTGGGTCCTCTCCAAGAGCAGGAAGTTCTCTTCATCACTGCTGAGCCATCTCTCTAGCCTTGGAGATTCAGATTTAGTTGATTTGGGACAGGATCCAGAGGTTACTAGATTTTGAAAGTTCACGTGCTTATTCTGATGAATTACAACATTATAAAGAGAGTTTCAGCATGAAACTTTTAGTATAGAGAGTTGGGTCCAATTTTGGTTAGAAGAAAAAAACAGAAGAAAAATGATATAAAAACAATAAGAAAACCTATATAACAAACCCCATTTGGTATTATATTGATCCACTGAACTATTGTTAATTTAAAAATATTGTAGCAACATGAATAAAATTCAAAATAAAACAAAAGCTTTCAGAGTCTGAGAGGATAGCTCTGTTTAATCTCATTTTAATATTGCACAATAATACACATATCAAGATGCCACGTGATACTATATTAACATGCACATATGTGTGTTTTTGTATTCATTTAAAAACTAATTTAATTTAAATTAGAAAACTACATTGTTTTCCTGTACTTATATTATCTAAAGAACATTTTTCCCCCTTTTTCCTTCCTCATTAAATGAGTGAGGTCAACTCAAAGCTCAGAATTGGATCTTCGCATTAGAAGTATACAATAAATGTTCCCTGTGACTCAGTTTAATGTGTTGCAATGGCTCCATGTTATTCTATAGCGTGAATATGGTTTCCTTAACATTTCTTTGCATTTAGACATTTAGGCTCTTGTTTCTTCTTTGTGATTGTTTTCTAGGATGAGGTTTTTTAGAAAGGAAATCATTTGAAAGCAATTGTTATGTTAACTTTAAGAATACTTATGGAAAATCTACAACCCATACAAAGTAAACCGAATAGTAAAGTGGCCTCCCATGTCTATTACTCAGCTTCAACTACCGTCAGCATTCTGTGTCTGATGTTTCATCAAGGCTTCATCTGTTCTTTTATGGTACGATTGTGTTTCGTGTTTCTCCAGTCATCTGTTGATGGGCATCTCAGCTATTTCCACCACAGAGTGTTATGAACAACACTGCTGAAATAATTCATGCAAAAGTTTTTTTTCAACATGCTTTCTGTTTCCCAGGGTAAGTACCATTGCATAGAGTTTTTGAGTTGTATGGTAAATATATGTTTAAGTTTGTAAGAAACTGTAAATCGTTTCCCCAAATGG